GGCTCATTTGAGAGTGTGGTGCTGATATCACCAAGGCCACGGGTTCGGATCCCATATAGGGATGGCCGGTTCGCTCACTTGGGAGAGCGTGGTGCTGACAACACCAAGTCAAGGGTTAAGATCCCCTTGCCAGTCATCCTTTCAAAAAATAAAATAAAGTCTTAGGTTGACGATATGCGGAGGTGTATGGGTAAGGCCTTTTATAGGTCAGAAGGAAGTCAGACAGGGATGAAATGAGCGAAGCCAGCCCTGCAATAGGTGTGGGGCTCCATACAATGCTAATTCGTAGGTGTGTGTTGTCAACCAGTACTCCGAGGGGAGACGGTGGGAAATGAAGAAAGACACAATTTATTTTACGGGATCAAGAGGACCTTGCAGGCTGCTGACCTAATAAGGGATCTTAGTTTATTTTAGTTTCCTTTTTATAAGCCAGTGAAAATAACAAATCGTACTGATTAAATCAATTATATCTGCTACCAAGCTCTTTATAGAACAAAACATTTTCAGCTGCCAGGCACTTGAAGATTCATAGCTAACTACTTATCAACAAAATAAGAACGTAAGTTTCTCATTTACAAAGCTTCCAGGGTCCTGGGTTTAATCAGAGGTCAGACCTCAAAGTGAAGGAGAAGCGGGGGAAGTAGGCAAAAGAGGTGCCAGCCCTGCTGGCTTCCCCAGAAAAGCAAGGACTTTGTCAGCTTGCTTATTCAGTACCCCACAGGTGTGATTTGATTTTCCAGTGGGGAAGGAGATGAGGAGGTGAAGGTGCAAATGTATGTACATGCTTCCTTCCAAAACTAAATGTTGATGACAGTGGGGCATTTGAGCATATGAAATTATGAGAATGCAATTATCATACTTTGCATAGTTCCCGAATCAAGATAAAAAGCAAACTTAAAAATGTTTTATTTAGGCAGTTGTGGGAGGTGTAATTGTTGAAGATTTAAGTAGATAATTCCCTTTTTTGGAAGGCAATCTAAATGCAATTTAAATTTTTCATTTTTTTTGACACATCAATTCTAATCCAAAAAGTTTATTTGGTAAAAAGTTTTGTTAATGTTAACCACAGCAGTTTTTGTAATTTTTTTTTTTAAGGGAATGTACAATGATAGATGAATACCTTGGTAAATTATGGAACATCTACTCAAGCATAACAGAATATAGCAATTAAAAAAGAATATATTATGATTTTCAGTATAAATAAGGTAAGATAACTATTTTTCTTTTTTTCTTTTTTTTTTTGTGACCAGTAAGGGGATCGTAACCCTTGGCTTGGTGTCGTCCACACCGCGCTCAGCCAGTGAGTGCACTGGCCATCCCAATATAGGATCCAAACCCGAGGTCGCAGCGCTCCCAGCACCACACTCTCATGAGTGAGCCACGGGGTCAGCCCAAGATAACTATTTTTCAAAGGACAAAAATGACCTGTAGGATAACGTATACATTATGATCTTCTCACTGGAACAAGTCAAACATCTTGAACATTGTGACTGATTAAACATTTAGTTTGAATTACTTTAGAGGTTATGTTCATGGGTAGAGAATGTCGTAAGTGTTTACTTGGAGAAAATTCCAAATTTTTGCAGTTCCCAGTTAATATCTTTGTATCATAAGCACAAATTTATTATAAAAAGACGTTGATTTAAGAAAAAAGTTTTAGAAGACTAATGATGGTAGACGTTCACAATATAGTTAAGTGTAAAATAGACTAGTCTTACTTTTCTTTCATAAAATATACTTACATGCATTTGAAAATTTGGGGAGATTATCATTAACAATGCTTGACTCTTATGTACAGTTGTGGTGATTCAACATTTCTTACTTTTGCTTATATGTTTTCTAATTTATATACAATAAGAATTTATTGTATGTGTGTGTGTATATATATATATTATATACACATTTTTTTGGCAGCTGGCCAGTTCAGTGTTTGCATAATTTCTTAAATTATTAAATTAAATTTCAGCTCCATTCACCTGGGATGTCACCCTCTTGTAGTTAAGTTCAGCACCTAGAGCACAGGGCTCATCAGGGTGGCCTGTTCTGGGACTCACTGATTAGTTCCAGAAGTGAGCTGATTAGACCCCACCATGGCAGGCTGTGTAGATCCACAGAAGACTGAGAAGTGGAGTGGATTTGAGGGCCTGGCAAGTGGAACATTTATGTCTGATTCTTTGCTGCCCAAAATCTATGCTGTGGGGGTGGTGATGGGAACACTAACTTAGGATGGGGTAGATTTGTTCAAATTTAAGTATAGATCAGAAAGGTCTTTTTATAAATGCAGAGTCCTGGGCCCCAGCTCCAGAGGTTCTAGTTTAGGAAGTCTAGGTTATGACTCAGGAATTTGCCTTCTTTTACAAGCTTCTCAGAGAATCCTAAGGAAAGCAAAGAGAAAATACTTAGAAAGTCCTGCAGAGTTCTAGACTTAGAAATATTACAATGGTTATCCCCTTTCAGTACACTTGTCTTGGCTCAAATTACACTTGCCCAGAAAAGCCTTTAATTTTACTGTCTCCCTCACCAGACTCTATGCTCCTTCAAGGCCATCACTTTGCCTGTTTTGTTCATTGATCTGTCCCCAGTGACAACAGCAGTGCTTGGCATAGTGTAGAAGCTCAAAAAAATATTTTTAAAGGAGTGAATTACTCAAAAGGGAGTTGGGAGTTCACTTCTGCCACATCACAAATGTATATGGCAAATGTTCGTTTCTTTTGCTATAAAGAGGACTCACCGTTTATAAACTGGATTATATATCCTTATTATCAAGGGAAATAACTCTGAATAGAGAAAGCAAGAGCCATACTCGTAGAACTAAAAAATGTTTGCCAGCAGAACTGCTCAAACACAATTGATAAAGGAAGTTCAGAAAAAAAGGAAATAACAGAAGGAAACATAACATCAGGAATGAAGAAAAAGCTACAAAAAAGGGAAATATGTCATCAAATATCATAGCCTATTCTTTTGAGTTTTTAAAACTGATGGTTGGAAGCAAAAATTACAATTTTATTCGATATAGTTCTCAGTGGATGTAGAAGTGTTGAACATCATTTGCCATTCGGGAAATGTAAGTTAAGGCCATGATTATATACAACCACACACCTAATAGGCAAGCTAAAATAAAGTATAGACAGTGCCAAATGCTAGAAAGGACATGCAACAAATGGAGTGCTCATACATTGCTGGTAGGAATGTAAATTAGTACAGCCACTCTGGAAAAGTTTGGCAGTTTCTGGTAAACACAAATTTACCATATGAACCAGCAATTGTGCTCCTGGGTGTTTATCCTAGAGAAACAAAAACTTGTGTTTATACAAAGTCAGGTACACATATGTTCATTTACTGGTAGCTGCTAGCACAACATTTCTGCATCCTGATTATGGTAGGAATTACACAAATCTATACATTACAAAATTAGAATACACAAAAATAAACACACCAATTAGTGCATTAAAAAAAACTAGTGAAGTCTAAAGTTCTGTAGTTTAACAGCATTGTACTAATCTCATTTTATTGGTTTTGATTATGTATTATGGTTATGTAAGATAATATCACTGAGGAAGCTGAGTGAATTGTACTTAGGAACTGTGTACATTTTGTAATTTTTTGTCAATTTAACATTATTTCAAGGGGCTGGCTGGTTGATGCAGTTGGTTAGAGTGTGGTGCTGATAACACCAAGATCTGGGGTTCAATCCCTGTACTGACCAGCTGCCAAAAATAATAATAATTTTAAGAAGACTTACAGAAAAATCATATTAAGGTGTTTTTTTTTAAAACTACTTGATGCTTCTTATGAACTGGGATAAACACATCTAAATATGTTGAATTACTTTAATGAATTTAATATATGCCTTTTGAAGCAGATAAGTAGACTGAAAGGAATAAATTTACAATCTACAATATGCAAGAGCTAATCATATAATGATATAAGGTAGGCACAAAACACTCCTGCATTGTATATAACATCAAAATGTAATCAGTGACAGGCCGGCCCGTGGCTCACTCGGTAGAGTGCGGTGCTGATAACACCAAGGCCACGAGTTCGGATCCTATATAGGGATGGCCGGTTTGCTCACTGGCTGAGCGTGGTGCTGACAACACCAAGCCAAGGGTTGAGATCCCCTTACCGGTCATCTTTATATAGGATAAGAAAAAAAAAAAATGTAATCAGTGATGAGAAAAGCCCACTTTAAATTTATGTAATCACTAAGAACATGGTTCAAGGTATCTTGTCCCAAAATGGCACCAAGCATATGATGAGTTTAGAGTTCTGATAGAAACCCCTCAAATGTACATACATCGTTTTCATGACACTTCTTTGCTTCATGAATTCTGATACTTTGCTAAAGTTACTCCACATTTAGTGTTTTCTTAAGTTTTGTTTCTATATGAATTAATGACAGATGATGAGGCAAAATGTATCACTGATATCCTGCCGTATTCATTGCCATCTGCAATTTTTTCTCCAGTGTGAAATATCTCACAACTATTAGATTATATTTCTGGGCAAAGGCTTTCCCTTGATCATTATGTCCTGCTATGTATGAACTCAACTGATGATCTATTATGATCACTAAGGAGAAGGGTCTTTTTTCCTATAGTAGAAAGCTTTCCTAGTCTCCCCACTGATGATTTATCTCAGTACATACTTTTCAAGACATAATTACATAGAAATTTTTCCTCAAGACTCTTCTGCATTGAATGTATCAGAATTTTTCCTATACGTCTATTTGGACATACAGTGTGAGGTAACTGATCACTGAAGGCACTATCACATTCTCTGAATTAAATTTCCCACCTATGCAAATTCCATAATCTCCCAAAGATGAAAATTTAGCTCTAGGCTGCTCTACACTGACTATATTCACGTATGGTAGGAGCACACAAATGTTTAATGAGTTCATAGTACTAACATGGTTTGCCCTCTGCACAAGTTCGCTTGTATGTAATGAGGTCAGATTCTCTGCAAAGGATTATGTACCTTGACTTACAAGTTTCTCTTGTGTTCACTGTCCTATTTTAACAAAGCTTGATGAATCACTGAATCCACAGTCTCTCTCTCTCATGAGTTCTTTGATGTGTGTACATCAAAGAATTCAAAGCCAGAATTCATACTGAAGGCTTTGCCACATTGACTCCATTCATATGATTTGTCTCCTCTGTAAATTCCCCCATGGATAATGAAGCTGATAGTGTGCAAATAGTATTTTCCACACTCAGTACACATAAAGGAAGCCTATATTGTGTGAAGTCTCTGATGCTGTACAAGACACATTTTCTTTCTAAGGCATGACCACATTCATTGCTTTGTTGGGGGGTTTGTTTCCATTATGTGTATGCTGATGTACAATGAGATTTCTCTTTGAAGAGAAGCCTTTTCCACATTCACTACATATAAAGGGTCTCTCTCCTGTATGAGTTCGTTGATGAACAATTAGACGGCTTCTGACAGTGAAGCCTTTACCACATTCATTGCAAGCGTAAGGTTTCTCTCCAGTATGAATTTGCTTATGTAAAATGAGCTCAGTTTCCATGGCAAAGTCTTTTCCACATTCACTGCATATATAGGGTTTTTCTCCTGTATGAATTTGCTGATGTACAATGAGATAGCGTTTCATGGTGAAGCCTTTTCCACATTCACTGCACATAAAGGGTTTCTCTCCAGTATGAGTTCGCTGATGTACAACAAGATTGCTCTTAAAGGAAAAACCTTTTCCACATTCATTACATATATAAGGTTTCTCTCCAGTATGAGTTCGCTGATGTAACATCAATCCACTGTTCACAATAAAACCTTTCCCACAATCGCTACATCTGTAGGGTTTCTCTCCAGTATGAGTTCGCTGATGTACAATCAGCCGACTCTTCAAGGGGAAACCTTTTCCACATTCACTGCATATGTAGGGTTTCTCTCCAGTGTGAGTTCGCTGATGTATGATTAGCATGCTCTTCACGGTGAAACCTTTCCCACATTCACTACATAAATGTGTTTTCTCTAATGCATGATTTCTCTGATGTACAATGAGATTACTCTTCCTGGGAAAGCCTTTTCCACATTCATTGCATACATAGGGTTTCTCTCCCGTATGAGTTCGCTGATGTTCGATCAGACGGCTCTTCATGGTGAAACCTTTCCCACATTCATTGCATATATATGGTTTCTCTCCTGTATGATTTCTTTGATGTATGATGACATAGTGCTTCGTGGTGAAGCCTTTTCCACATTCACTGCAGATGAAGGGCTTCTCGCCGGTATGAGTTCGCTGATGTATGATAAGCATGCTCTTCCCAGTGAAGCCTTTTCCACATTCATTACATACATAGGATTTCTCTCCAGTATGATTTCGCTGATGTACAATGAGATTACGCTTGCCTGGGAAGCCTTTTCCACATTCACTGCACACATAAGGTTTCTCTCCAGTATGAGTTCGCTGATGTTCGATCAGACGGCTCTTCATGGTGAAGACTTTTCCACATTCACTACATAAAAAGGACTTCTCTCTTTTATGAATTCTCTGATGTTCATTGAGCCTGGACTTTCTGGAGAATATTTTTGAACACATACTACATCCATAAGGTTTCTCTCCTGTATGAACTCTCTCATGATCTGTGAGCTGAGACTTCTTGACAAAAGCTTTCCCACATTCACTGCATACATGGGTTTTCTCTGTTTCGTGAGTTCTTTGATGATTAATGACTTGGGGCTTATTGCTACTGGGTTTTGCACTTACAGGGAATTTAACAGCAGAATGAAATTCTTCAGATTTACTATGCAGAAATGACTTCCCATTTCCATTATATTTAGTGGAGTTCTCCATTTCATAGATTTTCTTCCGGCTGACTAAACTTATATTTGATTTCAAAGTTTTTATACATAATTCAAACATATCATGATTTTTCCTGAAAGGAAAATGACTTTTTCTTTGAGTAACAGTATTTCCAAATGCATTATGTTCATAGTATTGTTCCATACTCTTCAGAATTCTTTGATTTTCCAAGTGACTCTGTAGATGATCAACTGTGTGGTTTTCTAGGAAAGAAGAGAACAGTGAATCCTTTCATAATCGTCTTGGGGATAAAACTTTAAAAAAAAATTTCCTTGTTTTTGAAAAATGGCTCTTTAATGACACTACAATAAACATTTAAAAGGAAATCTATGTATAAGTTCCTTATTGCTTTCTCACTGCTAAAAACACAATAATATAAAGAAACCAAAATGTAAAACCAGTTAGTGTACAATAAGGTTAGGCAGTTAACAATCCATATACAAAGGTACTTCAAAAAGTTTGTAAAAAATAGAATTGAAAGGGCCAGCCTGTGGCTCACTCGGGAGAGTGTGGTGCTGATAACACCAAGGCCATGGGTTCGGATCCCATATAGGGATGGCCGGTTCACTCACTGGGTGAGCGTGGTGCTGACAACACCAAGTCAAGGGTTAAGATCCCCTTACCAGTCATCTTTTAAAAAAAAAAAAAAAGATAATATGAATCTTTCCATGAACTTTTTGAAGTATCCTCATAGATTTGGCTGCTTTCTGAATAGAACCTTTCAAAACATGCAGACATAGTAAAATACAAGCAAGTCATTATTATAAGTGAACAACAGGATTTGAAGGAACAGCATTCCACAGAACTTAGGGAATCACCAGACCAAATAGTTGGATGAGATGACTAATCCTAAATGGTAAGGGTTGTATTTATTCACAACATATATTTATTGAATGGCTCCCATGTACAAGGCACTCTGCTAGTGTTTGGGGTATGCAAAATTTGCCTTCTTTTCACTGATCTCAAATTCTAGTTAGGAGAAAACTGAATTAACAAGAAGGAATGAAAATAAAAGGTAGTTGGAGAGGGTTAAGTGTGATCTGAAGGTGCAATGGAGATGGTGGGAGGTGGAGGAAAGCAGGATATGTCTGCATAAAGAAAACGTAAGCTGAAATGAGAGGTCAATGGGGAGAGTGGTTCATGAAAGTGAGGAATCAAGGATTACTTTACTAACTATATGGCTTGAGCCACTAGGTAGGTTGAAGCATCTCATAATGAGAAGGGGAATATTACTGAAGTCCAGATCTTCAGAACTATGTAGAATAAAGTCAGAACTATGTAGAATAAAGTATGTATTGTGAAACATAAATGTTGAGATGGTTCTTAAATATGTAACACAGACATGAAGAATCTGTTTCAAGGTATAAATGGAGATAGCAATGTGGAAGTAATCAATATATACCTATTAAAGAAAAGAGGACTGGATGACATGTTAGGAAGACATGTAGTATGAAAGTACAGAACCAAGATTTTAGACATTCCAAAATTTAGTTTGGGGATTCTTTAAGCCCTCTTAGATGAACTAAACTCTGACTATAAAGATCAGAGAAATATACATACTGACATGTACAGAATATATGTATATTTTCTTACCTGTTACCTGGCAAGTAAGAATTTGAGATCCTCAGCATCTGAATTCAAGTGAACTGAAATAAACTCTTCCATGGTAATCCTATTCCTGAATTTGCCTTTCTTCAAACTATAAGCTACCATCAAACTAGCTTTCAAAAAATATCAAGGCATTTAGAACGACTCCTATAATCAACATTCCAACCACTGGTCTAGCTGTGTCATGTTATCATACGTTCCATTTATAATGAAATAAAAAAACGATTGTTAAGGAATTGTGCAACTGGCCAGTGTACCATGCAGTCATCTTCAGAAGCTAATGTGCACAGTTGTTGCTTTGCGTTGCTTTGCCCCCCATGGATTTGTCATCCCACTTCCCCTGGGTGACGGAGATGCAAAGGATTACTCAAAGCCCATCTCTACTGAGCAGTGAGAGGCCCCAAAGTGGTTAATCTCCCATAGGAACACTTAAGAGAGAGGGATCCCTTCCTTGGGAAATTAACCACTTTTTCGGGGCCTCTCTCTGCTCAGTAGAGATGGGCTTTGAGTAATCCTTTGCGACTCCATCACCCAGGTGAAGTGGGGTGACAAATCAATGGGGGGCAAAGCAACACACAGTAACAGACCAGGTTATTGTGAGGGCACAACATATACAGTGGTATTTCCCAATGGGGGAGGAAAGTGCAATAGTCAGAAGATACTGATGAATTCAAAGTTCTCTCTATGGGGCCGGCCTGTGGCTCACTCGGGAGAGTGCGGAGCTGATAACACCAAGGCCACGGGTTCGGATCCCATATAGGGATGGCCAGTTTGCTCACTGGGTGAGCGTGGTGCTGACAACACCGAGTCAAGGGTTAAGATCCCCTTACCGGTCATCTTTTAAAAAAAAAAAAAAAAAAAGTTCTCTATGGAGCAAGGCCTGGAAGGTGAAACTCCATGGTCAAGGAGATGGAAGGAACAGGCAGAAACACTGTGACAGGATATAAAGGAGAGGATTATAGAGTCCAAGGAAGAAGAAAACTAGGCAAACAAACAAAAAGCAAGATGTAAGATAAAGTAAGTAGGGATCAGAGGAGAAAAAAGGAATATATTTCGCTCTAAAGTCCTAAAAGACAAGTTCTGATACAGGGAGAAACATACATGGAAGCACTGTTTCTGTATCCTCAGATATCCACATAGCCTTCTCTGACTGACTAGAACATGACTTCTACGGTTATGCATTTTGCTGGCCCTCATTTACTCACCTGGACAGATTCGACTATGCATTTCATCTTCTATTGTCCATGGTTCTTCTCCTTGTTCCAATTTGGAGAGTGCATACGGTTTGATGGCTTGATAACCTGTTTATGGGAAACGATAGAAGATTTAAGACACATTAAATTGGGCTGGGGTATGTAAAATGGAAGAATATTACATTTAAGGTACTAGATAGTTTTCACATCTGCAAAGTAGACACTTTTCTCTCAGGAGAGGGTAGATTACAGTCGGCCCTCAGTATCCATGGGTTCTACATCCATGAATTCAACCAACCGTAGACCAAAAATATTTGCAAAAAAAAAACAATAAAAAATAATACAAATAAAAAACAAGATAGCATAACAACTATTTACATAGCATTTACATTGTATTAAGTAATTCAGAGATGATTTAAAGTATATGGGAAGAGGTGCATAGGTCCAAATTCTGTGCCATTTTATATATGGAACTTGAGCATCTTCAGATTTGGTATCTATGGGGAGTCCTGGAACCAACAAGGGACAACTGTATATCCTTTTATCAGAAGCCAGAAGATGCACTAAAATTCTGCTATTCAGAGCACTGCAGTGACTTCCCAGGGTAAGCAGCTAGAAAGGCCACACACTGGGGTGCTCTGAGTGACATAGGCCAACTGTCCTCACCCAGTGACACCAGGTTGCCATAGTTCTCCAACATCACGTCCCGGTAGAGGTCCTTCTGAGCAGGGCCCAGGAGCTGCCATTCCTCACAGGTGAACTCCACAGCCACATCCTCCAATGTCAGCAATTCCTGTAATAATAGAGTCCTTAAAGTGCTTAATATAAAGTTGTCTTTTACTGACATGGAAGGAATGTGAAGAAAGTTGTCCTGCTCATCTTAACCATATAGACTGCATCTATAAGCCTACTATATTTTTTAATACATTGTCAAAGAATCAATCTCCAAGTATTCTGTAATTGTGTAGTAAGCCATTCAGTCAACAAAGTATGTTTTTATATCAAACTCTCTCAGTAAAAACAGTTTTTACACATAATTTTTTTATTTCAGCATCTATTGACCAGTCAAGAAATTACATGCTAGTAACATCTAGATATATGATATAGATTGCAACATTCACTATAAGCCCTCCCAGGTAATACAAGCCTAAGACATGAAGAGACCCCTGATGCTAGAATCACAGAACACTACATAAGTGTTTAATTAGTGAATGGATTTTAAAAAATAGAAATATATCTAAAACACAAGATTCATCAAATTTGGGAAAAATTATTCTTGAAGATATAAACATTAAGTATATATGTGCACACATATGAATATATATACACACACATATGTCTCTGTATGCAGACACATGTATGTGTGTACATTAACAGAAAGGTTATCATATTAGAACTGGAATATACATTTTTAAAAAATAACTGAAAAAATGAAGCAGAGACACAAAGAGACAAAACATAAAGGAGAGTTTAATAAATATGAAGGATAGAGTAAGGTCAATCATATGCCCAACATAGTTTTTGAAATATTATATTGAAACAGAGAAGCAATTTATAAAGAGCTAAGGAGTGAGAAACTTTCAGAACCAATTAAACATCCTACAACTCAGAATTAGTAAACTGGCAAAGCCAAACAGGAAATCTGCATCTAGACACACCAGACTGAAACTACAGAACACCAGATGCAAATATAAGATTACGAAAACAAGAAGAAAAAGACGCATTGACATCAAAAGAAAGACTGAATTCACTGACAGCTGACTTTTTCACACAAACAATAGAAGCCAGAAAAATGTGGAATAATATCTTGAATGTCCTCATTCTGTGGCAGTGCAGCCTAGCCACAACTGCTACTGGAGAATAAATTGAGACTCTCTTGTCAATTCAACTCCCACTCTCTTGTCTCAGCATGGCTTCCAATCACATGGCAGGGTGGTATATAGATAGGCAGAGAAGACCTAGGCAAAAACTGATCAGGTAGTTTATCCCCACGTTATTATAGAAATTACTACATAGAGAAGAAAGCAGACTTGGTAGATGATGCAAATTCTCAATGCTGATTATCTTACCACATTCTGAATTATTTCAGGTGAGACACGAATCTATTCCGAAAAAAGAAAACTTAGGTTCCTACTTAATTTCACACTCAAAAATAACTTTTTTCCTATTTAAAGACCCAACAGAAAGCAAAGGAATCTGCGAAAACAACAGAGGCAAATATGAAATATATTCATGTAACAAGCTAAAAGCCATAAAAGGGAAAAAAAGTTACAAATTTCGTGAGAGGAAAAATTTAAATTTCTACATTGAAAAAGATATCAGGAACAAAGCTAAAAGAAAAACAATAGACAAAATAAAAGATCAATACATAGTATATATAAACAACTTTTATTAATCAGTAAGAAAAAAAGTTTTTTAATGTAAAAATTACAAAGACAGGTATTTCACAAGAAAAAAATCCATTTGACCATCAAATACACAAGAAGGATTTCAACCTCACTTGCGATGAGTAAAATGCAAAATAAGGCAAAAGAATATCGAACAATTCAGATTGATGAAAATTATGCAATTTGATAATGTCATATATTTAAGTATTGGAAAAGATTTAAGGTATGAATTACCTTACTAAATGGCAGGCACTCGTCTAAATGGTTTACACAGATTCATTTTTTCAAGTATAACTATAGACAAATGGAATTTTATATAGTTAATATTCTTCAATTAATTGCAGTTATTATTCCTTTAGATGCTTAAACTATACCATTTAAGGTGGCCAGCAGGTTATGTTTTTTGGAATGATTCCATTGATGCAAAATAATTCATAAGATGTGTTTATGTACAGAGATATGTACATAAACATACATTTGTAAATATACATACATATGTAGATTCACACATAGTTCAGTGACAGCAAGCATACACTACTAAACATTTGTTAAAGAGTTATGAGGGGACTAGGAAGGAAGTTATGAAGAGGAAATTTACTTTTTTGTGTATATTTCATCTCTGTAATTTTTTTTCCTTTAAAATGTATCCATGAGTAATTTGTGTAATTACAAAAAATAAAAGCAATAAAAGAGAAATAAGTAAGAATTGGATTTGAAAACGGGGAAGGATTCTGTATATTCTTTTTTTTTTTGTCCTTTTGGAGACTGGCCACACCGCGCTCAGCCAGTGAGCGCACTGGCCATCCCTATATAGGATCCGAACCTGCGGCTGGAGCGCTGCTGCGCTCCCAGCGCTGCACTCTCCCGAGTGCGCCGCAGGCTCGGCCCGTGGATTCTGTATATTCTGAGATGAGGTGAAGTTACAAAGCAAACCCTGTGGCACCCAACAACTCAAGCCCTTACCAGACAAAATTCCTTTCAACTCTTTAATGCTGAATCTGTACTTAAATGCCAGTGCAGGCCCCTGTTCGGAACAGGTAAAAGCCAAGTAATACTTCCATTTTCTTAGGCCATTTAGGTTTTATTCCTAGATAAGCTCAGACAGACGCTAGGCTGAGTTCTTTGAGTGGCCTTGCTTTGGTCCCCTGAAACAGCATGTCCACTGAGTTTGGTATATTCCCATAGGGGTCTCTGAGGGGCCTTGTAATAAATAGCAGTAAGAAAATTTCTGCCTTCATTGGAAGGCTACTGTTCAAAACACTGTCCACCTCATCACCTCTAGGAAAAATATCAAATTTTTCTTGAGACTTAAGTGCCTTGAAATATTGATATCCCTTGAGGAACCTGTCTGCTTTCTCCTCACAGTCAATGCATATCATATAACTTGGCATGACTCTCTTGTTTAGCTGGCTGTCAGAGATATCAGATGCAAGTTGACAAGTAATGTAACCGAGAGGATCCTTCAGTCACACATTATGTTCTACGTTAGTCATTTAGTAGGAATCACATGAACAGTATATTCCTGATCCTACTTTGCTATGACATTGGAGTTAGATTCAAAGTTTACTTCTCTGTAAACAATGAAATGATTTCTTACAGGCCTCTACAAATCCATTAGGGAGTAAAGGAGAGGATAAAACAGATAAAAGTCACCTGGACATCGATCATTTTCTTCTGTTGTAGGAAATGGCCAGCAAATGGGATACTCTGTCTTTGCCTCTTTTGGATATGTTCTAAATTCCTAGTTAGAAATCTCAGTCACCAATAAAGGGTGTCCCAAGAAGTGATAATCTAGGTCCTGGAACAACTGTCTTCATTCACTTCTTGTCTCTTCCCAGGAAAGCCGAGACCTGTGAGCTGAAGAGCAAAACAACCTTCATGGGTATATTCCCTTTTGCTGTACATTCACCTTAACACATGGCCCCCAATATTTCTGTCTCTTTATTTGGTTCCCTAGGGCCAATGAAACAGAAGACCCTCAATGTGTGGGAGAAATGTCTTTCCTCTACAAAGTGTAGAAGTAGTACAAATGTGGGGCCGACCCCGTGGCGCACTTGGGAGAGTGCGGCGCTGGGAGCGCAGCGACGCTCCCGCCGTGGGTTCGGATCCTATGTAGGAATGGCCGGTGCGCTCGCTGGCTGAGCGCGGTGTGGGCAACACCACACCAAGGGTTGTGATCCCCTTACCAGTCACGAAAAAGACAAAAAAATAAAAAAAAGTACAAATGTGGCAAAGAATCAGCACAGCACCATGCCTCAGCAGTAAGTAATTCTCAGATCAGTTTTAGAAATGAGACCACATAGATCGCGAGAAACTAAATTTTTCCTCTAAACTATGTTACCCTCATAACTCTCTAAAAGTCTTTATAGGTTGGTCAGTTGGTTCAGTTGGTTAGAGCATCCTGGTGTAACACCAAGGACAAGGGTTCAGAGCCCCGTGCTTGCCAGCCGGAAAAAAAAAAAAAAAAATGTCTTTAAGGTCCGGCTAGTGGCTCACTTAGGAGAGTGTGGTGCTGATAACACCAAGGCCACGGGTTCGGATCCCTATATAGGAATGGCCGGTTAGTTCACTTGGGAGAGCATGGTGCTGACAACACCAAGTCAAGGGTTAAGATCCCCTTACCGGTCATCTTTAAAAAAAAAAAAAAAAGTCTTTATATACCCCATTTATATACACACTTCAATGTGAGGAAAAATGAACACACCGAAAAATTGAGAAAAGAAATGAGATATAGGGCCGCAGTGGCGCTCCCTGTGGAAAAATGAACACACCGAAAAACTGAGAAAAGAAATGAGATATAGGGCCGCAGTGGCGCTCCCGCCGAGGGTTCCAATCCCACATACAGACCGGTTCCCGCTCACTGGCTGAGCGAGGTGCGGGCACAACACCGAGGGTTGCAGTCCCGTTGCCGGTCCCGGTCCGGTACGGGCGCGACACTGAGGGCTGCGATCCGTTGCCGGACACGAAAAAAGACAAAAAGGAAAAAAAAAAAAAGAAATGAGATATAAATACAAATTTAAAAAACAATTCAAAAGTATAAATACTGGGAAAATGTAGAACCTGAAACGAAACATCCATAAGAAATATGCAGTAAATATGCAAGAAGGATAAAAACCGACTGCTGAATCATTCATCCCCCCAAAACTTTCATATAGGTGGGTTCAAGAGGATGGGGTTTTGTGGGAAGCCAAAGAGATTAGGAGGAGGGACTTGGACCTGAAGCTTTTAGGGGACGTTAACGTTCAAGTCTGTTCCGGGAGCCAAAGTTCGAGATCAACACACAGACCAGCCAGGGCTCCCGCTTTCACACGTCTCTGTACAAAAGAACACCACCCCACCAAATTAATACGAAAACCTGGCCTAGATACACAAGTATATAGTTCTCCCTTCGTGGTTTTTCATCATTGAGCCCCCAAATTAACCTAGACCCCGAACCAGACGCCGCGTTCGTTGACAAACAGCACCCCACCAGTTCTCGATCACTGCGCCCTACAGGAAGTGACCCGCGAAGACCCCAACCCCTGACCTCAGAACTCTCGGTCGTTGATCTGTTTAGGCCTTTAATCACTGACCACTAGAGCTCCCCTGATTAACGCCCACAGACACCCCATCACAGACACCCACTGCGGACTCCTCCTACATGGTCCGCTCTAAGAAAGCGCCCGCCGCCCGTGACCCCCACCGCGTCGCCGATCAACAGCCTGCGCAGGCGCCGTTAGACGCTCCCTCCCCCCGCCTGTCCCTCGGACTTGCCCGCACACTCACCTGACGCTCTCCTGAACCCGTAGCGACCTCGGAAGCTGAATTTACCTTCCTAAACTTCTCCCACTTCTTGCCCCCTCGCCCAGCACAGTCTCCCGCAAACGCCCGAAGACATCCACGGCGTTTCTAGGGGAAACGGAATACGAGCTTCCGCCCCTTCCTTATGCGGTCATACGTCCGCGCCGGCGCCGCCACGACGCTCTGGGGGCGGCCATCTTTGAGTGCCTGACGTACAGAAAGCAAAGGGGCAGCTTTCGCGCTGTGGCAGCTTTGTGTTTGTGACAAGCGAAAGGCCACCGGACGGGCCCACGAGAGGACTCTGAAACGGTCCCGTTTTCAGGCACCTCAGCCCTGGCGGAAAATATCAGAGGCTGGAGCTCACACAAGGAAAACATGACGTGAGGATAAAGTCCTTTTAACAGACAAGGAAGGCACCGAAGAAGATGGTCACCTTCTCGTTGCAGGGGACAGTGAACGACTTAAACTTTAAAGGCCGGAGCCCAGCACTACCACAAAGGCGCGGCATACATTATGAGCGGCCATTACGGCTGTGATGTCTCAGCTCAGTGAGGAATTAAAATAACCTCTGGGCACTTCAGTCGCTCTTCTAAATGCAAAGTGTTTTAGAAGCCGTGTAAAAGCTTAAGCCAGCTGGACGGGCGTGGGGGACAGCGGTCGGGGCGCTGCAGCTTTCCAGTACTTTGCGCGGTCAGGCAGGAGCACAGCGGGAGCGGCCATCTCGGGGGAATTCAGTGTCACGACGGCAGAACAAATGCTTCCTGGGAAACCCGCACTCGAACTGCCTGCACTGGCAGATGAAAGTATCTTTAGGAGACAAACAAGGTCTGGAAAAGAGAGATGGTATGGGAGATGAAGTGATCACAAATTGAGCAGAAAAAGTGGACCTTGTGACCATCTTAACAGTCTTACCCCAACCATGTCTCTTACCCTACCCGATTACAAAACACGCAGTCTAGACAGCCACTGAACCGCTTTTGTCACTATAGATTGGTCTTCATGTTATGAATAGGATCGTACAGTATTGTATCTTGGGAGCCCCAAATCTGAAAGGGCATTCGTATAGTGTTCGCCTGTTCCAAAGAAACTCGCCCGATATTGCAATAGGTAGAGACATCTGTTTTTTATTTTTGTATTTATTTTTTAATTTTAATTTTTGTTTTTTAGACTCATGGGAGGTGCTGATGGCTGCTGGTCAGCTAGAAATCCGTGCCGTTGTGGGGTACTTACAACAGTTATATAGTAAACAGATCAGAGGAGAGGAGTAAGTCATTTGCATGCTTATGAGTAGACACTCCACTCAGAGCCCGCAGGAGATCTGGCTGGGAAGATAAGTTAACCACTCTGGGCATCAGAGTAGTTAACTCTATTGTTCTGACTCCACTTACATGCTAATGCATTTACTCAGGGCTCCTGCTTCCTACTGTCTTCCATGTGTCTTAAAGGAGACGTGCCTTTCCTTGGGTAAACTACCTTGGCCAGGGGTAGTTTCCCAGGGGGGGAGGAGGAACTCTGGTGTGTGTGAGGAGAGGAATAGGTCTGCGTCCCACACTTACCTTACAAATATGTACTCTTCTTATATGGCGTCTTTCACACAACATAACTGTTTTGAAATATATCAGTTTTTATGTATCAATAGTTTATTCCTTTTCATTGCTTAGTATTCCTTTGTATGGGTATTCCGAAATGTACTTAATCACTCACTATTTGGTAGACATTTGAGTTCTTTCCAGTGTTTTGGATATTGAAAATAGAACTCTAGGAGCATTCATATGCAGAAAATAAACAATATTACCTCAAAGAACTGGATTTCCCACAGTTGTATGCATTCACACCACTCACAAAGAGGTCTTTGCCAGCCATTTGCATTTCTAGCTCTGCCTCATCTCATATTCTCGTGCATCTTTGCTCCTACCTGAGCCCTGAGCTTGAAGACTCACTCACCCTAAGAAATTAGAGATTGAGAACATGGGCTGTGGCACACTGACCCCAGGTTCACCTACTTGCTCAAATTAGGTACAACCCCATTATAATTCTCAAAATTATAGTCAGGACATCTGGTCAAGATGGCAGAATAGATGGTCCCCAGTGTCACTCTCTCCCACAAAATAACGAATTTACAACTATAAAAATGTAACATCAGCCAAGCTGGGGCCGCTGGAGCTCAGGTGAAGAGGAGGAGAGACCTGTGGAACTCATGAAGGCGAGAGAAACCACAAAGAGAGAAAGAAAAAACTGCTCTCAGTGTTTTGGGTCGCGGCCACTCTAATGCTGGAGCACATGGAGCAGGAGCCGGCAGAAGCTGCAGCTGTGCCCTTTAGATGGAATTACTTGGAGGCAGAAGGGGAAAAGAGGACTTTGGTGGCCCCCAGGACAGCAAGACCACTAACAGGGTTCCTGTGGACCCACGCAAGAGTGAGGAGCCAGAACAGCTGAAAAAGGGGAGCCGTTCAGAGGCTGGTGAGTCATTGAAAGGGACCAGCGCAGGGCTCGTTGCATGGGAAGTGTTTGGAGCACAGGCTGTTGGGGAGATGGGCCCACCGGGAGAACACTGGGACACAGTAAGGGCAGCCAATCTGCCCCCCCAATCAGCGCAAGACCACTCAGAGGAGACTGGTCAGGAATGCAGAATTGCATGGGGTGCAATTTGATGGAAAAACTCAGGCCCAGATCAGAGTTTCTACACAACCCAGGTGCACCAAGTATCTGGAGAGCTGTAAGTACCTATAAGGTCAACCATTAAACCCTGAGCTGCACAAAAAGTCTTCCATAGGGAAACAGCAGCAAAGCAGCAATTTACCTCAACCACACAGCTCAAGTGTTGGTTTCTATAGGAAGTTCCCATTTTAGAAGCAAGCAAAGGACAAAAAACTTAGTTCCAGACCAGGCACACCATGAATGCCTTGTGGCCCACCAGCGGACATGAGGCAGAGTCAGGGGCAGGACCCCACATCCCCAACCATTCACACCACCAGCACCTTGGAGCCCCACCCAGAACCTGATGATTGGAGTCAAGGACTGGACCCCACTTCCACATACTGGCACACCACCAATGCCTAGGGGCCTGCCCAGGAACCCGGGGCTAGCAGCCAGGGACCAGACCCCCTTCCCACAACCAGGCATGCTGTGACAGTGCCTCAGGGCCCCACCTGAGGGGTCCAAGGCATGGAGAAGGGGACCGGACCTGCCTACCATAACGAGGCACACAGCACCAGCACCTTGGGGCTCAGCTGGGGACCCGAGGCATGGAGAAGGGGACCAGAACCCTTCCCACAACTAGGCACCCCACACCAGCACCTTGGGTCCTGCACTGAGATACAGGGCATGGATAATGGGACTGGAGCCCCCTCCCACAACCAGGCACACCATGCCAGTGCCTCGGGGCCCACCCAGGGACCTGGGGCATGGAGAAAGGGACCATACCCACCTTCCACAACCAGGCTTACCACGCCAACACTTCGGGGCCTGCCAGGGAACTGGGGCATGGAGAAGGGGAATGGACCCCCACACACACATATCCAGGCTCACTACGCCAGCACCTTGGGGCCCACACAGGGACATGGGGTAAGGAGTTGGGACCGGACCCACCCTCCCACAACCAGGCATGCCAGGTCAGTGCATCAGGGCCTGCCCAGGGGCCCTAGGCATGGAGAAGGGGACTGAACCTCCCTCCCACAACCAGGCACACTGTGCCAGTGCCTTGGGACCCACCCAGGGACCCAGAATATGGAGGAGGGGACCAGACCCCCCACCACAACCAGGCACCCCATGCCAGCACCTCAGGGCCCACCCTGGGACCTGGGGCATGGAGAAGGGGACTGGTTCCCCCTCCAACAACCAGGCAGACCATGCCAGTGCCTTGGGACCCACTCAGTGACCCAGGGCATGGAACTGGGGATCAGACACTCTCCACAACCAGGCACACTGCCAGCACCACAGAGCAGGCCAAAAACATCTCCATGTGGGTGGCCCACCATAGCTACCATGATAAGCATGGCTGCCATGAAGGTGGCTAGATGCCACAACCACCACGCAGATGGTCTGCCAGCCACTGGAGTGAGTTGACACAGAGAGAGTCACCAGCAGAGAAAAAGAAAGGAGTAGGATGTCTGTCTCTGAAGAGCCCATTTCATACTGATGGAAGAGACATCTGCTCTATGATAGTATTGCGGGACCTGATCATGCCTCTCAGCATTGGACAGATCATTTGGGCAGCAAATCAGCGGAGTAACCATTATTCTTTCAGAGGGAGAGAAGAAATCTAGGGTAATTGGGGGAGGGGGAGAGGATGGGGGATGAGGAGGGATTGGACAAGGGGCATAAAGAATAATTACAATTTGTAACAATAAATGTGCTAGTAATATTGATTTGATCCATGTCTCAATGTTGAAACCCCAAAATATGTATAATCAATTTTGATTCAATAAAAATTAAAATTAAAAAAAAATTATAGAGTCATGTAACCACAGGCCAAAGCTGGAAGTCAGTCCCTTCTTCAAAAGTTATCTCAATTCTAACCAACTCTTACATCCTGCATCATTACTACACTGGTCCAGTCCCTCGACTGAGATACTGGAATTGTTCTGCTTGTCCCATTGACCTGGATAGTTGGGTCCCCTGATTAGTGGGGAAGAGGTTCCAAAACTACCAGTGGGTGTCTGAAACCTTGGATAGTACCTAACTCTATTTATACACTATGTTTTCCCCTTATTAAATTGAGAATTTTCCTTTACACTTAAAGGAAGCACTTTGCAGCTTCTCCTTGGCATATCCAAATTGCTAGCATAACTACTCTTGCAGTTTGAGGTCATTATTCAGTAAAATAATAGTTAGTTGAACACAAGCACTGCAATACCAAGACAGTACATCCAGTAATGGAGATACCTGTTAAGTGACTAACCAGGTGGGTGCTGCATACAGCTCGGACATACTGGACAAAGGGATGATTGATGTCCGGGGTAAGTTGGCATGAGATTCATTATGCAGCACACAACTTAAAACTTGTCAATTTTTTATTTCTGAAATTTTCCATTAATGTTTTTGGACTGTGGAGGGCAGGCCCATGGCTC